TATATATATATATATATATATTTATATATATATAAAGTTTTTGGACACCTAAGTAACACTTATAATGATGTCAGAATGTAATTGCATTACATAACACATTTTAGACCTTTCTCAGAAATAATTGCAATTTTCTGAGCCATTTGATTAGTTCTAACTGTTGTCAGTCTTTTAAGTGTTGTCAGGTTTTAAATGTTGATTATTTTAGTGGACGTCTGAATTAATTTCTCTTCAAATTTTCTTGCAATAGTTCAACACATCACAAATATTGTTTTATAATTTAAAATCTAACAAATTTTGCTTGAAAAGAGTCCATGCTTTTCTTTCTTTCTTATTTAAAAAAAAAACAATGCTTGGTTTATTACTGCATTATATAAAATATCTTTAGTAATAATTCTTTCAATGTATGTTTAAATGTAGCTTACAGATCCAAATACTGTAGTATTGCCAGTGAGTAATGGAAAGTAAATTCCTCTTGATCCTAAATCGGACATTCAGATCACAAGATGACACAGCCTTCCTCGCAAACAGCACTTTGCAAATATAGAAATTTCCTCTCATCTGACATTTTATTCAGCAAAGTCACTGTGCTTGTGACCTCCTGGTATTCCCCTAACTTTTGACCCCTAGGCATCTAACCAAGTCAATAAATAGAAACAATTTATTTTGCCTCATATAAAAGTAATACATAAACTGACCCCAAATATTATATTAACAATATCAAATTTCTTTACATAAAACTGCTGTTTTACTAGGTTCACTTTATGAGAATTTACAGTCAAAGAAAGCAGGGATTAAACATTTTTGGCCTGAAAGTGTCATTCTATTTGCACCCACTAGAGGGGCTAATGCTCAAGACAAGATGACACTGTAATACATTTCCACTTGAACTTGAGAAATAAGAAAATCATATTTGTAGCCTCACCTTGCCTTTAAAGGGATAGTTCACCAAAAAATGAAAATGTGATGTTTATCTGCTTACCCCCAGGGCATCCAAGATGTAGGTGACTTTGTTTCTTCAGTAGAACACAAACGAAGATTTTTAACTCAAACCGTTGCAGTCTGTCAGTCTTATAATGGAAGTGAATGGGAATCACGGCTTTTTAGAGTCAACCGCTCAGGACAGTTCAGACATTGCAGTGCATCAGAGGTAAAAAAACGATATAAATACTGTTCAGTTTCTTGCACAGACCGATCGTTTCGTGTCTTTACACATCAATGTTTCGTCACGAGCCGCAGAGTTTCATTTGGATTTGTTTGTGTATGTTATTTTGACTCTCAAAGCCATGATTCCCATTCACTTCCATTATATGACTAACAGACTGCAACGGACATCTTGGATGCCCTGGGGGTAAGCAGATAAACATCACATTTTCATTTTTGGGTGAACTATCCCTTTAAATAGTCCTAGTTTTTATTCAACACGTCATTATTATTATTATTGCACCTGGGCTTTTACTGTATGTTATGTTCAAAGAATACTACCACTTTTACAACTGAACTTGTCTTAGCAACTTTATTAAGATTCACACTCAAATCGGTCCAATTCATTGGCCAAACATCATACATTTGTATTTTCCATATAAATTGGGAATGTATCAAGTAAAGATTATGAAAGTGCAAATACCATTTCAAGGATTAGGTGCTTAACAATATAAAATCTGTAATGGGTTACAAAATGTGCTTTTCTCCCCCCCAACAAACAATAGCCACCCAATCCCCCAAACAATACAGCCTTGACACTTTAACGGTCTTTTGTCAAGAAAACATGATCTATTTTTTTTATAATTACTTAATGCACAGCATACTGTCACATACAGGACAACTTCTGTCATTCACTGTCATTTTTTTTTTGTCATTTTTGGACAGATCTACCATATGCTTCATTTAAACAGACATTAGCTCCACCTTTGGCGGCATACATTAGTCTGAAGAAATACTGTGATTTAGTGAGCTTAACCCATTCCGATCACACATACAAACTGTACATACAGAAAAATATTCATGTGTGCACTCCCCCAAACTTTGACGAATGGAATGATACCAAAATACCACTTAACAGACAGGTTTGCCTTCATTTTCAGTTTATGCAGTGCAATACTGCATTCGGACATTAGGTCAGAATCAATACACATATGACATCAAGCCCACAGTAAAACATCAAGCGCCTGCTCACTCAAAATCGCCAATATAACGGCAAACCTATGAGCTAAAACGTGTTATTCTATAGCTGAAATGTGAGCTAATTTTGTGCAAATTTTCTGAAGTGCTTAAAACTTGGTGCTGCTCTGATTTAGCGGTTTCATCAGATGAAAAGTTGGGCAGGTGTTCGCAATTAAATTGAAGCAAATCAAAAACATTCTGTTCATTTGGTTAAAAGGCTTTGAACAATTATTTCAGCAGAAACGTTTTAAGCAAATATTGAGTGGTACTGTGTTATTACAGTTTGATATACACATAAAAATATATATTGCCGTTCATTCATTTTTTTTGTCATCACCAACTTTACCTTGATCTTCATTCATTTTAAGGACATTCAATTTTAAATAAATAGAAAATTAATTTCCATAATTTACTGTAGAGAAATACCACAGTTAAATGAATTGTAAAAAAAATCTTAATTGTGGGTGAGTTCCACCATATGTAGAAATGTAAATCTGAAGCTAAAACAGCTTCTGGCCATCACGATGAAATGCCTTGTGGCCATGTGGAAATCACATCTTAACACACAATGAATAGTATCTCATTAAATATAGATCGATTTAATCCGTAAATGTGTCCAAGTTCATTTAAATAACTGCTTTAAAAACAACCCGGGAGAAGGGGCCAGAAGCATGCTAAAGGACAACCCAACATGTATAAAAATGTCTTTTAAAAAACATTGAGCTCAGTTTGCTTAACCGCCACCTGAAAGTACAAGTACGATGTGTATTGGAACTTCCCCCACTCTGGCTTCGAGCGCAAGAGAGCGGCTATAAATAAAGAGAAGTTTCACAGAAAAGGCACTGTGAGAAGTTGCAAAGACAAAACGTTTTCCAGATCCGGTGCGGCGCTTCTGAACCAAGTTTAAACTCGCCGGTACTTTCCATTCTAATTAGCCGGTGACGGATTACAGTGATTACGTTTGACCAGAAAAAGAAAAGTCGACTGCAACTAGAATTACTCTTCTTTTAGTTTCTGTGATCATCAGCCCAGCTCTTCTGAGCGTGATGCTGTTGTGCACTTCTCTAATACTACAGGTCTAGTTTAAAGGAAGGATAGCGTACTCGATAGGGCGGCTAGGCCCTCAGCAGCAGGCACGATCAGCACACCGTCCACTCGGCGTGTGCTAGCCAGTGTTTTTTGGCACCTACAGTATCTTTTACAACCTTTTTAATCAGGCGAACTCGCGCTGAATACCATCCTGTACTATACAGTAGATTCGCACCTTCATAGTGCTTTCTGGTTCATTTGCTGACTCTTTTAAAAGTGTTTAACACTCCAGGATCGGAACGAGTTTTTTAGTGAGCAAACAACACGTGCCTCATAAGCACAAAGGCCTGAGCGAGTACTCAAACTACATATCTGACAATACAAAGCTTCTTGTCATGATTAATCTTGTTCCTCGGGTTCAGCTACTTCATCAAAAAAGTGCCTTAGCTAGTAAGTGAAGTCAGTATTTCATACATGATGTTCCTGACCCTCCCATTCAGAGGAGCTACTGTTAGGCTGGTCGGGGTCTGAGTCACATTTTGGGGTGTCGAAGTGACACGGGTTCAAACCACTCGGCGTTTCGCCCAACTTGATGGACGAAGCAGGAGGCACCGGACACATATCGAGACCTACCAGGTCTAACTGTGTCGGCCTGATGGGCTCACGCTCGATAGCGGAGTCGAACTCGTGCTCTGCCTCTCTATCGCCCCCCGGTGTCCACTGAGGAACGGCACACTCGGTCGGCTCTGTTGTCATTCTCGCCGACTGAATGCCGAAATCACCAGCCGAAGGAACCAAACTGATATTCTGTGGATTCATGTCATGAAACCAAGCCATGATGTTGCCTAGAAGGTTGGCGTTGTCTGAACTGAAATCAGAGGTTTCCGTATGTCCCGAAGGAGCTTGGAAGGGGCCCTCAGCGGACTCACAGGAAGGATTGTTGAGATTGTCATAACGCGGAGGGACATTCTGGCCACTGATATTACCGAGCTTCTTTAGGCTGTCACCCACCTCTAACAGCTCGGAGCTGCTCAGGGCAGCACGGGGAACGTCTATCCCGCACAGCACCGGGTCCAGCCGTGTGGGCAGGGATGTTCCGATGGCCCCCAGAGATGCTTCATTTGCGAGGATCTCTTGAGCATCAATGCCAGCACCGCCTGCAGTCAGCCCAGACTCCTGCAGAGAAAGCTGGATGGCCAACAGGATATTGGGATCATCCTCATCTAGAGAACCGCGAGGCTGAAGGGAATAAGATCAGACTCAGTTACTCCCAGCGAAGGATTTGTGACGTTCCACCATAGAACTTCTGTTAAAAGGGTCTCAACTCACCATGAGCAAACCCGGTCTCTGACCACCACCAATTTCTTGTGCGTCTGTAAGAGAAGAGAAATAGAAAATCTTTTGTTTAATTGGATTACTAGAGCAGTGTTGCTTTTTTATAGCAAGGAATATCTACTCACTACAAAATCATTGATATCAATAGTGATGGTGCGAAAAATTTGCAACCCACTGCAAGCCATGATTTCTCAGTTACCACACTGAGTATTTCCTTCAGCCATAAATTATACATCGGCAGTGTGACCTTGAGTGTCTTTATATGGGTTTTTGTGTAGTCGAGCTCGGTAACACTTTACAATAAGGTTTCATCTGTTAACATTTGTTAATGCATCAGTTAATTTGAACTAACAATGAACAGCATCTATTAATTTTACACTAATCTCAACATCTATTAATACATTTTAAAATCAAACATTATTGCATGGGAACTAACATGAATATGAACATTTTCACTAAGTAACATTTAACAAAGATTAATAAATGCTGTAGAAATATATTGCTCATTGCTTTAGTTAATGCATTAACTAATATTGATAAATTAGACCTTACTGTAAAGAGTTCCAGTCTGCATCGGTCTATCCAAATATACATGGCAAATATTTGATGCAATACTTCACAAAAATCATACGTAAGATTTCAGTCAAACTAAAGTGTTTACATGTCATTTTAAGAAGAATGAAATCAAACTAGTGCTTTCAAACGATTAATCGCATCCAAAATAATCAGGGATCTTATCTATGCACAATCAGCTTGTAACACTCCAAAGAGAAAGGAAAACTTGAAATCGCATCATATGACCCCTTTAACACACTTGCACTTTGTAATAATGTCAAATTAAATGTTTTATATTTGAAATCATTGTATAATTTTAAACACAGTGTTATATATTACATTTAAAGTTAATAAATTTTAAATCTACTAAATGGCAACTTCATCAGTACAAAATGTGTAACTACAATTCTACTTAAACGTATACTTACTGTATATCACACGTTTGAATAGAAATTACATTAAAGTATATTTTAGTTTTCATAAATGCTTGTCAGTACATTTGGCAGTACACTTCAGCCTTATTTCAAAGACAAAAGAAGTATTTTGGATTTGGATTCCGTCAGATTTACTGACTTACAAAGTGTTGTTAGTTTGCCATGTCATCATATGCAGAACATCAGGCCTGACAGACATATTTTCTCAAACAATGAGCAAGAAATTCACCCCATTCATTTATATTCCTTAAAAAAAGTCCATACTGCAAAATAAAGTGGTGATAAATGGGTTTATGGTACAATTTCTGCTGACTCCAGTGTCCAGTGTGACTCCAGCAAAAAAAAAAAATCCTGAAACTTTACTTGCAGCTGCTTCAACTATGGAGAACCGCAATTCTTATATGTATATATACCAGCAAATATGGGCACCAAAATGAAAACACATTCACAAAACATACCTAAAGTGCTGTGGCCTGGGTCATCAGGGTCGGGTGTGTTGCTGCGGAGGCTGGCCATGTCTCCTCTCCTGCGCTGCCTGTGTCTGCGTCTGTACTGGAACTCAGCATACGCCTACAACACAAAACCGCACACAACACCATTTCAATGCTGCTTCAAGAGGAGTACCAACATTCCCACTGGACCCTGTGAATAAAAGTCAGAATCTCTGAGGAAGCCTACACCTTTCTACAGGAAATCTGCTGTGCAGCAGCATCAGAGTTTAGGGCTGTTGGCATCGTCATGTCAGAATAACAGACAGATGCTTTGCCTTTGAGTAAAGTCAAAAAGGAATAGTTCAAAACTAAAATGAAAATTATGGCATTATTACTCACCTTGTCATTCAAAACCCTTAAGGATCATTTTTAATAATGTAAAAAAATCTCACAAACCTATAATATGGCTTCAGAAGATGTAGATAATAATATAATATAATATATCATTACTGCATCATTACTCCAGTCACATGATCCTAAAGAATTCATTCTAATATTCTGATTTGCTGCTCAAAAAACATTCATTATTATTATTATTATTATTGAAAAAACCTGAGTAGAATTTTTTCAGGTTTCTTTGATAAATAGAAAGTTCAGAAGAACAGCATTTATCTGACATTGAAATCTTTTGTAACATTATAGATGTCTTTATCATCACTTTTGATCAATTTAAAGCATCCTTGCTAAATAAAAGTATTAATTTCTATAACCCACCCCCCAATATACGGATAAATGCTGATCTTTAGATCTTTCTATTCATCAAAGAATCCTGAAAAAAATGCACTCAACTGTTTTAAATATTGATAATAATAATAAAAAAAATCTTGAACAGAAAATCAGCATATTAGAATGATTTCTGAAGGATCATGTGACACTGAAGACTGGAGTAATGATGCTGAAAATGTAGCTTTGATCACAGGAATACATTGCATTTTAAAATGTATTCAAATAGAAAGCAGTTATTTTAAATATAACTGACATTATTTCACAATATCACTGCTTTTGCTGTATTTTGGATCAAATAAATGCAGGCTTGGTGAGTAGAAGAGAATTCTTTAAAAAACATTAAAAATCTTAGTGTTCAAAAACTTTTGACTGGTAGTGTAACTGCATCAAAAATAGTGACCAGCAATATTAAAGGGGACATCTGATGCCCATTTTCCACAAGTTGGTATGATTCTTTAGGATCTTCATGAAATGAAATGTCTGCAAAATACTTTGGTTAGAAATTCCTCAACGGTCATGTAAAAAAACACAATTTTTACCTTGTCAAAAACAGCTCTGATTATAGCAAGCCAAAACAGTACAACTGGCTGAAGACGGAAATATGCTAATACAGGGGAGTCCGTCAGCGTCATACTGCTCAAAAAATCAAAACGTCTTGATAATTGAGACAGTTTAGGTTTTGAAAGGATGAATGGATTTTTATCATTGTAGGGGGGTTGTGTCCACACACTGCTAAGACGCATTTATATGCAAACACCATGTAAAAGTGAATTTTGCATCCGATGTCCCCTTTAAAAGGTTCTCATTC